TGGAATCAATTATGGAAGCCAGAATTGCTCTTATTTCGTTTTTGTTCTTCTTGATTTCGATTAAGCAACATTTGCTCAATATTCCATAGTTTGCCACTAGTTGTACTGCAAAAATTTTCTGCTAAAATGCAAGCTTTTTTTATGATATTGGTTTGATACGTGATTGCTAAACTGTTCAGTGGCATCCTTCCTGTTCTTAAAAGCCGACGCAACAAATTTTCCTGGTTACTGCATGATGTTTACCTTTACCAACATCAATCTTGTAATGAAAAAACACGCAACTTTTACAAAATATCCCTTTTAAAACATCAAAGTAAGCAAGCCAGTTAAACCTTTCCAGCCAATTTATTTGAAGCTATCGCTTTTTATTTCCAATAATTTGAGGCTCCATTTTAGTTGTATTTAAGGGGCGCCATATATTCTTTAAAATATTAAGTAGTTCGACATCAATGTCAAATTTATGTCAAATTTATTTGAAACTTGGGGTTGTGGTTAAGGATCTGTGTCGAAATTACCATGTACGTTAGCGATACCGATATCACTGGCAGGGGCGGACATATCACCGGGAAGTTCGGTGCAGTGCACAGGGGCCCCGAGGTGAGGGGGGCCCCCGGCCAACTCTCCCGTACACAAAGTTCTAAAATACCCAATCAATCACAGTTTGTAAATTGAAATTACGGCTGTTTAAATAATATATAATAACACTAGTAACGCCATCTATTAAAGAATAGAGACTAACTGTTCCTAATAATAAAGATTTTTATTCCGTTTTTGTAAGAATTTTGATTATTGTTGACACGATCGATGATCGATGTCGCTCCGGCGGATGTTTTCATTCTCTGTAAATCCCTTTGTCGGCATATTAGATGTGAGATGTGTATGTGTCCATTTCACTGATTACTATTTACTGGTGAGTGGCTGAGTGGCTATAATATTATTTGTTGTGACTTTTTGTTTTATTTGGAAGTAAATAAACGTGCTAACGTGCATCTTAATTTCTGAAACGCAGAAAAAATAAGGTAAACCGATTTTTTCTATTATTATTTTAGCACCTGCAATTTTTATTTAATTTTAATTTTAGCTTGTCAAAAAAAAACGAAATTGTACTGAAAGGTGGTGGCCTACCACTGGTAAGGTAGACAAATATAAAATGGATAAGCGTAAGTATAAGAGTGGAGCAGAAAAGCGTAAATTGAAACAAGAAAATCTTGATAAATCTAAAAAATTGCCTAAGATCGATAAATACTTTATCCCAAAAAACGATCAGAGCTCGAGTTTGTCACCTTCATTACAAGAAAATCCCGAAGCGAATATTATTGAGACTGAGACATCACAAAGAGAAACCATACCACTACCTGAGATACAAATGCAAATTGTTAATTTAGAAGAAGAAAATAATTCTAACGAGTCGGAAAACTTTTCTTTTACGACTGTTATTGAAACTGGTGGAACGTCTGAAAAATCTACAGATTTAGGACATTACAAAAATGAACTTTGTGATGATGATAAGCGATTTATTATCAGTCAGCCTGCTAACAAACCCAAAGGTCCATACCCAAAAGATCCAAAACAAGGAAACAGGCGCTTTAGTGAAAAATATTACTCATCAGTAACGCAATATGGTGTAGTTCCGCGCACATGGCTCTGCTATTCAAAAGTTCTAGATGCTGCTTATTGTGTTCCTTGCTGGCTGTTTTCTTCTGGTTCTGGTGATAATCAGTGGCGAAGAGGATTAAGAGACTGGCAGCACATTTCTTCTAGAATAGTTGAGCACAGCACAGCTCAAATGCATATCCAGTCTTGCAGTATTTTTGAGTTATGGAAAACTAACCAGACTGTCGATAAAGAATTAGAAAAAAAGGCAAGATATGAAGTTTCTTTTTGGAAGCAAGTTTTAGAAAGACTGTTTCGTATAACGTTAGCTTTAGCTAAGAGTTCTTTAGCTTTTCGCGGACATCGTGAAAAGCTTGGAAGCGACAACTTAAGTGGCAATTTTCTAACAATGGTAGAGTTATTATCACACTATGATCCTGTTATGAAACAAGTTGTAACCATGCCTTCAGGCTCTGTGCGGTATTTAAGTAAAACGACTCAAAATGAACTTATTCAGTGTTATTCTAAATTTGTTTTAGAAAAAATAATTTCCAGTATAAATTTAGCTCCGTGTTTTTCTCTCATGTTAGACACCACGCAAGACATAGCAAAAACAGATCAGTTAAGCGTTGTTATAAGAACAGTTCAAATAATTAGAGATTTAAATAACATAGCTATAGGTTTTGAAATAAAGGAAAACTTCATAGGGTTTTATGATCTACAAGATCAATCTGCCAAAGGTATGTCTGAATCAATTTTGGGTATATTAAAAGATCTAAACATACCTTTGAGTAACTGCGTCGGTCAAGGATACGATGGTGCTAACGTGATGAGTGGTGCATACAACGGTGTACAAGCCAAAATTAAACAAATACAGCCAAACGCCGAATATATACATTGTGCTGACCATAATCTTCATTTAGTAATAAATGATGCCGTATCAGGTTGTAGTGAAATCTCCGCATATTTCGCAGTACTTCAAGACTTATATAGTTTTTTTGGACATAGTATTAAACGGTGGGACCTTTTGTCATCGTTTACCGGCGAGTCACAAATAACATTAAAAAAACTCAATCCAACCCGTTGGTCAGGGCGTATACAGTCGGTTTTAGCAGTTAAATTACGATTATATGATATTTTAAAAGCTCTTACTGAGATTGAACTAAAATCATCGAAAAAAGATGAAATTGCGGATGCTTCTTCTTTAAAAAAAAGAATGAGTACTTTTGAATTTATTTTTGTTACGATTTTTATGTTTAGAACTTTGAATCATATTAATTTAGCATCAAAAACTTTACAAAAAGTTGACATTGATTTGAATCAAGTAACGACAGTTTTAGACCGTGCAGGTGAACATATAGCTACTTTTAGAGACCCAAAATCTTACGACAATATAAAATCTGAAGCCATAGATCTGGCCACCAAATTAAGTATTGAACCGACATTTCAGGCAAAAAGGCAAAGAAAAGTAAAAAAACACTTTGATGAACTTTCTTCTGATCATCGTTTCGAAAGCAGCGAGGAGTTTTTTAAGATTAATGTTTATTACTTTGTCATCGACATTATTCGCAATCAGATTACTAGAAGATTTTCTGCTATGCTCGCCGTGAAACAAACTTTTGAATTTTTAGAACCGCGTTATTTAATTGTAAGCTCAACAGAAGAAATATTACACCGATGTGAAGAATTTTGCGAAAAATATCCGAAAGTTTTATCTCATTGTTTTGTAAATCAGTTTCTCATGATTTTAGATTTAATGAAACATGACCTTAAAGAAGATATGTCCATAAGACAACTCTTTGAATTTATTATTAAGAATTATGCTTTTATGGAAGCAGACTTTTGCGAGGTTTATACGGTTTTTCTTTTATTTTTTACCCTTCCTGTAACAGTTGCTTCTGTGGAACGATCTTTTAGTAAGCTTAAAATGATAAAAGACTATATGCGATCTACAATAAGTCAGCAGCGATTGCGCGATTTATCAATTTTATCTATAGAAAGTAAAATGGCATCTAACTTAGACATCTCTAATTTAATAGATCGATTTGCAAATGCCAAAGTTAGAAAAAGGGCGCTATAAAGTATAAATATAAAAATATTAAAAATAACATTCACGGATTTGTACAATTAATCTGTGATACTATATACCACAGATTAGCTAATAATCTGTGATAATAGATACATAGATAGGTACTACTAGTTTATTAGGTTTTTCTTTTTGTTTTATTTAGAAAGTATCTGTTTGTTTATACTTATTTTTTATTTTATATTTGTTATTAATAGTTTATAAATAAATTAAATAATCCAAACCATTCGTGATTTTTTTTTACATATTGGTTTTGAAGCCAGAGGGGCCCACAAGCACTTCTTGCACCGAGGCCCACTCCTGCTTAGATCCGCCACTGATCACTGGTAAGATTTGATGTTGATTCTTCTTGATTCTCTACTGTAAATCTATCATGACCAAGGCTAGTTTCCTAAAAAAAAGTACGATGTCACTATGGCTGATTACGTGCCTGCAACTGCAGTCTGTCGACACGAGCACGTTATACGTGTGACAATAATTAAAGAAATGGCCCTGGAAGCGACCGATGAAGTTGAGGTAAAAAAAAAAATTTTGCTTACGTTAGTTTTCTTATTGGAAAAAGCCTAATAAAGTTGATTGATTACCAGAACGTTTTCGATTATTATTGAAACTATTGAAAGCCATAATTATCATGGGATTATGAAAACAAACTCTCAACTGTCTGAGAACACCAATAAAACTGTTGTACACAAATACAAATTAAAATACCAACACCAATAAAACTTTTGTACACAAATACAAATAGCAGTAAGTGTCGCGATCTCGCGGATGTGTTATTGTATGTACGTTATGCAACTTGCATCATGTGTCATTAATTTACATCCTTTTACAGCTAGGACGGACTTAGGCCTGTTTGGTTTTATCTAGGATTTTTGTGAAAACATGCTATGCGATATTATGCGATTTTATTTAGAGTGAAAAAATGACACAATTCGCATAATTCATTTTCCGAATACGAACGTATAACTTGTTTATATTAATTTTATTGTATGATTATTAAATTTGTTTAATACCAAAAATTAATTTCTTAATTTGGATGCTTTTTTATTTTAATTTCGGGAGGCTCCCTCCTGGCTACGCCACTGATCACAGCACTAGTTAAAATGAAAGGTCAGACAAATTAATAATAAAAATTACCGTATTAAAACAAACATAACAATCCATATAAACAAAACTTCTTCATAATATTGATACTGCCCTATTAAACTAAGTTGAACAATATATGTATCCTATTATAGGAAGCACAATTTCTTACCAAAGAACGTCATTTCACCTTATCAGGTCTAGCAGATTATTTTGATGTGTGCCTGAATAAAAAGCGTTTCAGTAAAACTTATATATTGACTAAAATTCGTCTTATATAAAATATATATGTTCAATACGAATAAAATTATCAAATATCTACAAAATACACAATAAAGCTTAATATAAAATAATAATAATAATAACAACCCTCATTCATCCTCTAAAAATAATTGGAATGGAAGAATATCTCAGATAGTCGACAGCGGTATCGCTTTGAAGTTAACAATGGACTCGTTGTGCAACAGAGGCTTCTTATCCTCCTTCTTCTTGCCTTTCCTCTTGCCCCTCTCCCTATTCGTGACGCCGTCCTCCTTGTCCATCATCCTGATAATCTGGATTTGATCGGACGAATCGATTGGTGCCACCGATATGTCTCGGACGGCTCTGAACTGACCGCAATTGTTCAAATGTTCGTTTTCCAAACGGAAAAAGTTCCATACGAATCTACGGAACACCTCGAGCGGCGACAGAACGGACGTCATTATGTCGCCGCTGACGTAGCCGTACTCGGACAGGTAGAGCGAAACCGTCCAAGCGAAGCGCAGCACGAAATCCTCGATTATGGCGAAGTAGTAGAAGACCTGGAATAGAAATTAAAATCAATAATTTGAAAATAGATGAGTGCAGTAAACACAGTCGGATATTAGACTACCACAACAAGCAATTTATTCTGCCGTTATAGAGGTGATTCTAGACCTTAAGAAAATGTTTCAAACACGATACGAAAACAATTTTCAAAACCTAAATCATCCCAAAAACTTCAAGAGCTATGCTCAAGTTACAGGAGAAGGAGTTATTATTAAGCCCATATCGGCATATTTCAGATGTCATTCGAGTTACTTTACAGAAATTGTATGGAAGGAAATAAATGATTTTATAATATTTATTTTGTGCTTGAGGAATTTTAGCACTGAGTGTGACAAGCAAAATTTTGATGCCATTGTATTCTATTTGCTATATGTTACGCTGCTATAGATTACCCGACTATATTTCTTTTCATAACGCATCTATATACATGCAGCCTTATTTGATTAATTAATTGAACCGATAGCTGTGAGGAAGTATGAGGACTGGGTCGAAGTAAGATATGTTGCATCTTATTCTTTTTCCCCAGATCGATATGTTTTTCCGTTCAAGATATATGAGCAAATAACTGTAGCTACTTTAATGAGCCTTTTTGATATCTGAAAATACTTAAATAAGTTTCTTGGGATTCTAACGAATCCATTAATGATGAAATTTTCCTTATCGCGTCAATCCATTTCTGCGCATGCGCAATATCGATTTTTTGGGATTTGGAAAACTATGTAGCATCAGTATTATGAAATAAGCATTCCTATTTAATTTTCATTTATTTTAAGCCCTTTCTTAGTGATTTATCGATGTTCCAAAGAACATTTACCGAAGATGACGGCAAATATGTGATCCTCAGGTTCTACCGTTTCATTTGATGTGTCACACGTAGTTCTAACTCATCATCAATTTTAAAATGACGTTTGAATGACAGATTCATTATTAGTATGCTGCAATACATTACATACTCAAAAATTACAGAAATCGAAGACATTAATTCAAAAAAGTGGCAATAAGGCACAACGACCGGTAAATTCATTATTAGTGTGTCACGTGACTTTTCCCTTTCAAAAATCATGTGAATCGGTAATATGAAAGATGGTGGGATACCGGTAGTAATGATATAATAATTTCGCAATATGCCGGTTGAAATTATTACTTGTATGTCGTTTGCCTTGTTTAAATCGAAATATTATTAGCGGAGATATACGTTAACGACCGTTCTTTTAGATTCACCACTACGCATGATTTTTCAATACCCAAGATCGGCCCCCATACCCCCATGATTCACGAGAACGAACGAGCAATCGACATCGCTTCTTCACGTACACACAGCCATATTGCTTCCTCACGCTTCGCAACGGTCACCGTCACTTCTTATTCTTCTCCAGAGGCTCTCCGATCGCGACGTCATCTTGTTTTGCATTAAATATAATGTACATGTGTCACTTCACTTTGAAAGCCGTCTGCACTTTTCAAATCGATGTATTATTAGCGAAGATATACATTAATGCCCTTTTGGCTTTGATGGTAATTCTTTCGTTGGAAATGACAGCTAGATAACAGTTCAAGTTAAACGCCAATAATAACGATCCATTAATGCCCTTTTGTCTTTAATGGCAATTCTTTCGTTGGAAGTGACAATTAGATGACATTTCACGCTGAATGCCGTTTGTCCCGTTTGAATCGGACCAATAATAACAGATATATTCGTTAATGCATTTCTGGCTTTGTTTTTTCGTTTACCTTGTATATTTTTCATTGTTTACGTCAACGATTGCCGCCATCTTGGATTCCCGACGTTATCCGACCGAGAGCTAACGTTATCATATTTACTGATAAGTCAGACTTCGATTCTCGATGCGTGACCTTGATATTTACGTTTTTTGTTACTTTTAACCTTAGCGATTTCCCATGTTAATTTACATAAGGAATGAGGACGAACTGTTGCAGTACCTTTACTAAAAACTGATGAAGGTTGTTCAAAAGTATTTAAATCCAACTTCATTACAAATAGGGATAAATGAAATAAGAAATGTAAAAGATGGTGGTGTAATTATTAAATGTAATCTTGAAAATGAAATTGAAAAGGTTAAATCTGCTGTCGAAAAGAAATTATCTAATAGTTATTATAATATTGTGTCACCAGATTTAAAAAATCCCTCCATAAATGTTGTGGATATAAAAAAAATGAAATGTCTCATGAATATTTAATAAATTGTATTAAAAAGTAAAATGGTTTTTTGAATGATGGATATCTATTAAAGTTTTTAAAAAAATATGTCTAAATTCATGGCTATAATTATTTGTGATCCAGTCATATGAAAATATACTAAAAGAATGTTTCCTGTATGTTAATTAGGCAAGATTATGTAGCTGTCTATAGAAGTTTTAATTGTGGTGGCTTTGGACATCATAGAGATAAATGTGATAGTGTGCAAAAGTGTCTAAAGTGTTGTGATCCAGATCATCTCACAGATGAATGTACAAGTTCCGTGTCTAAATGTAACAATTGTATAGAAGGAAATTCAAATATGAAAACTAACTTTAATGTTTATCATAGTATTTTCGATCATATTTGTCCTATCCTTCAGATGAAAATTGATATTCAAAAACAAAAAATTAATTATTCAATTACGAAGTAACAATTAAAGAAACCCAGTATATCAAATATTTCGCAGCTTAGGGTTTTTCATTAAAATGCTCAATGTTTAAGGAATAAATTTGATTTATTTGAAATTATGATATTTGTACATCATTCTGTAGAACCATTATAAAAAATGGAGGTGTACTAATTATGTATAAATACAGTTTAAGCATAAGTATTAAAGAAATTTCTATTATAAAGGAAATGTAATTTTTGGTTAGTGTAAGGTTGTTGGTACAGAGGTGAAATTTTCTCATAATAAAATCATTAGAATTATATGTATGTATCGTTCAACAGATGACAATATTAATACTTTTTTAGATTACTAGATCGCCTTTAAGACTATGTATTTAATTCCGATTGTTATGCAATTTTATGTGGGCATCTTAATATACATTTTTTAACTAGTGATATATCGAAGCACCAACTTTTTATTTTATTCTTACAACCTTTTAAGCCATATAAAAGAGCCTACCAGAGTAAATAATAGTCTCGACTATATTTGTAGCAGTGTTGGTGATGATTTTTGTTTAGACTCAACAGCTGTGCTGAAGAATTGTATATCTGATTATTCTGGTCAATTAGCTGTCTTTAAGTTAAATAGTAAAGTTGAATCTATAAAAACATCAGTGAAACGTATATTTAATAATGAACATTACAATTTATTATTACTCCAGTCAATGGCTTACATTGAATTAGGGAATTCAAAGTAAAACGTGGGCATTCTAAAAAGTACTAGTATCACGTAAATTTTAAATTTATATAGAGAGACTAGACAGAAAGAAGAGAGACTCGAGTGAGGACTGAGGCCCAGACTCTCGCCGAAGGCAAGAATTCTCGTTTTCGGGACCTTAAGTCCCGAAACAAAGTAATGTGTAAAGTTTTTGTGCAGCAATTTGTGAACCATGGGTAAATATCTTTAACTTATTTTTAAAGTGTTTTGTTTACATATAAATGCCAATTTTCATTTTCGTCCCGAGTACTACATTTATCTTATATATTATATAATTTAAGTTTCCAGAGCTAATTTTAGTTGCTAATAAGTCCAAACTATATAATTCAATAGGAAGTTTATCTAATCATAAATTATAGGTTTTTTTAGTAATACATATTATTAATTTCTCCTTTCCTTTCCAAAACCAGTGAGATATTCCGAGCATTTGAGAAGCCTCGGCGTTTCTATTCCCTTAGGACTAGAAGAGTCTAAAATTAGTTGCCAAGAACCGCTCGACTATGCTATTAAGGAATAATTTTTGTTTTTTTAATTTAATTTTTTTATTATTTTCAATTGCCACTGGTATCTGTATCTGTAACGTGTGGAGGGTGGGTTGCCCCCACGACACATAGGCCTCACTAGGCCCATTGTGCAGTCTCCTAAGTAGATAAGGACCTCCTAGCTCGTGAGCCAGCCTATAGATTTATTGTAGTTGACAATGCCGCCAAGAGGTGCTTCTCTTATATCGGCCGATGTTAGCCGATACTCGCCGAACACAAATCTCCTAATAAATGAAAGCGTCGAGCAATTGTAGAGGATATGATCGATGGTCTCATTTTCTTGTTCATACCCTCTGCAGGTTACGGATTCTGACAGCCCCATGATATGGAGATGCTTCCGTACTTGGCAATGACCAGTCAGATTGCTTGTGACTAGGCGCAGATTATGTCTAGTCAGTCAAGTATTTGTTTGCTGTAGTGTTGTCAGGACAACTTAAAAGCTCCCTGGGAATTCTGAAATTTCTTGTTTCATCCCATCTTTCCTTGAATTTCACAAGGGAATGTTCTTTATAGGTCTGTCACTACGGATTTTGTCAGGCCAATAGAAGGGCCAGGTCCAAAAAGTATTTGGTTGACTGCTTTCTTGGCCAGTGAATCAGCAAGACGGTTACCTTTCGATGTGGCGTGACCTTTGATCCATCTTAAGGTGACCACGTTGTTGATGGATACTTCGGCCAAAACTTCGTGACATTCTAGTACTAACCCTGAATAAATTCATGGTCTCTTCAGGGTGAGTAGGGCGTGTCTGCTATCTGTATAGATGAGCATGTTCCTTCCAGTGATATTCTTTCTGGTGATTTCTTTTGCTGCTGTAAGAATCCCCGTGAGCTCTGTTTGAACTACACTGGCACTATTGCTCACAGCCCATTTTATATTAAGGTTTAAGGATCTGGAGTATATTCCACATCCTGAGCCTTGTTTTGTTTTAGAACCGTCGGTGTAGATATGAATCGTACCTGCCACTTCTATTTGTTCTGTTACAACTTTATATGGCTTATGGAAGATATATCTCGGTGAGATGGAGTCCATGTTCGCTTGAAACATTGGGAGCGTATCGAGCGCCTCCTGCTAAAATCCACGTCTCGCCTCACTAGATCCTACATCAGATTCTATTCCAACCGTGCGGAGGCGTGTCATTGTGGTCAGAGCAACCTTCTTGATGTAAATATCAAGGGCAGTGAGAATAAGAATGACTTCCATGGCCCTGATCGGTGTTGTTTTCATGGCTCCTGTTATGTTGAGACATGCTGTTCTTTGAATTTGTTCTAGTTTACGGATTGCTGTTTGGGTTTTCGGTACCCAGAAAACTGCACCGTATGTTAGCATAGGTCTTATGATAACTGTGTCCATGCGACGACTCTGGGGGAGAAACTCCAGGTGCGCCCCACGGTTCGGCGGCATTGTTCATAAACAATGTATGCTCTTTTGACTCTGTTTTCTAAATGCGAGTTCCATGTTAACTTGCTGTCAAAGACATAAGTGCATCACCTCTGTTGCAAAGTTTAGTTTTGTGTTTAGGAGTTCTGGAGGTTTTAATTCCATTTTCATCCTTTTCCTTGTGAAAAGGACCATTTCAGTCTTCTTAGGATTGATAGACAGTGAATGGTCCTTACACCACTGTTCTATAATTTTGAGAGCTACTTGCATTCTTTCGCAGAGTATGTTTCTCAAAATTCCCTCTTTGCAGAATGACCAGGTCATCTGCATATGCTATTGTGTAGTGACTGTCATTATTGAGGCGGCTGATGAGGGTGTCGAGGACTATGTTGCACAGTATAGGTGATAAGAGCTCCTCCCTGTGGACATCCCCTCGCAACCAAGCCTCTTATATTCACATCTTCTACACTTATGTTTACTGTTCGCTTTGAGAGCATGTTATGTGTCCACCCACTAACCATCTATGGAACATTCCTGTTGGTTAGTGAGTGTATTATCTTGGGGAAGGTAGTTTTATTAAAAGCACCTTCTATGTCTATGAAAACACTCAAGGCGGACTCCTTATTGTCCAGGGATCTCTCTATCCGGCCAGCAACTAGATGAAGGGCTGAATCAATGCATCTGCCTGGGGTGTATGCATATTGGTGTTGTAATCATTGCATTCCTTATGTACCTTTCACACAGCCTTTCCAATGTCTTCATGGAAAACGATGTCAGACTAATTCGTCGGTGTTTTTGGGACAGTGTAATCCATCCTTCCAGGTTTGGGTATGAATACCACTTTTACCTCTCTCCATATTTTGGGGATATACCTCAGAGCTAACGAGGACCTGAATATTCCCACCAGGTGCGGTGTGAGTTCTTCCAGACCCCACTGAAGTAGGGCTGGATAGATACCGCCACTGGAATGGATGTTCCTTCTGGATTCCAGGACCCTTTGGCTGGTAACAGTACTGCCTTAATCCCTTAATAGTATATTAACAACAGTAGCTAAAGACCTATCAGTGGTTACAAATGGTCTTTAGACTAGTTGTTTGGTACATTTGGTGACAAGCGGTGGTCCTTTAGACTTTCTGGTTGTTACAAAGAAACACCTACATCCTTAGAATATCACAATTCAAATATTAATTAAATAAGGTGTAACAACCATAGAAATATAGGAAAATCCTAAAAATTTAGTGTACAGGGATGCTACAGAAAATGCTGGGCAAGCACAGATTATTTACGGCTTCTGGGTTATCATACGGCTGTAGTAACTTAATCGATAGATAATATTGAACAGTAAACGATAAAAATAACCAATGTGGCCTGGTAAATCGACAGAATCCTAACTTAAGTTCTAGAGTACGGTGTTTTATACAAAGAGGAGTAGTTAACGGATGCCAATAAGAACAATAATTATTAATATTGTAGCATAATGCTTTTGGTCTTAAAAACGCATTGTTTTGTTTTCATTAAAAAAAATACTAAAAAAGTGTTTTTGATTTGATTTTTTTTTAGGAAGTTTCATAATTTTGTTAACTATACAGGGTGTCCCAAAATTGCTAGGACACAGAGCTATCATGTATAGTAGAGGTCAAAATAAGTTGATTGGATCCAATTCATTTATATACCAAAATGTACTGTTTGTCCGTGAGAACAGTTCAAAGTTTACATAAAAAACACATTTTTGTACGCTGTGCAGAAACGAGTAATACAAATTAAATGAAATTTGACAAAAGTGCATTTTAGAGGATTACTCTCCTTTCGGTAATCAAAGAAACCCAAAATAGATTGTAGAAGGGTTAAAACCACCCTCACACCCTGACATTTTTTTTAGAACTTTCTTAGGGGTGGTAATAGGGTTCTAAGTTTTTCTTATTGAGAAGACCGACTAATTATCTTCATTTCGTATTACCCATAGTTCCGAAGGAAAAAATATTTTCTTAAATAAAAGCTAACAGATATTCCTAGTACAAGTTTAATAAAATTGTAATACAAAATTTAGTTGGCAGTGGAAACAAAGTAAAAACGTTTTTTATAATAAATGTTCGATATGACGGCCACCTTCATCGATACAAAGGTCAATTCGACGTAAAAAATTGAAATTGAAATTTTTTATTACAATTTTATTATACTGGTACTAGGAATATCTGTTAGCTTTTATTTAAAAAAAAAATTTTTTTTCTTCGGAACTATGCGGAATACGAAATTTTTATAAAAGTAACAAAATGAAGATAATTAATCGGTCTTCTCGATAAAAAAATAGAGAAACGTATTACCGCCCCTAAGAAAGTTCTAAAAAAATATGTCAGGGTGCGAGGGTGGTTTTAACCCTTCTACAATTTATTTTGGGTTTCTTTGATTACCGAAAGGAGAGTAATCCTCTAAAATGCATTATTGTCAAATTTCATTTGATTTGTTTTAATCGTTTCTGAACAGCGTACAAAAATGTGTTTTGTTATGTAAATTTTAAACTCTTTTCACAGGCAAACGGTACATTTTGGTAAATAAATAAATAAATTGGGTCCAATAGACTTATTTTGACCTTTACTACACGTGGTAGCTGTGTCCCAGCAATTTTGGGACACCCTGTATTTAATTAACAAATATTTCTCATACATTTTGTAACGAACCGGCAACAGCGCAATTGTGTAGGTCGATTTAACAAACAAGCATAGAATAATGTCGGATAAATGGAAAATTGATTAATTTTTTAATTTTTGGAATATATAAGCCAATCATTGTCACTTTTATTATGCACATGTATATTTCAGTAACCTCCTGTATAACGATTGAAGAAAAAATAATTACCTTCGACGAATATACGGTTTCCTCTCTCAGTAAGGTATTTTCGCCTGCAGATTTATCGAACAGACCCCAATCCATTTTAATATCCCACGTGTAGGCGTACGTGGAGCTGAGTATTTGAGCTGCTATCCACAAAAACATGTACGGGTTTTCGGACGCCGTGGGATAATCGTCTAAAATTATAAAATAGAATATAATTTAACAGTAAAAAGCTTTGTCTAATATGAAAAAATATCGGAACTAGGGAACCTATAAGAAGGTCCAATACAGTGTGTCCCACTTTTCAGATATGATAACTGGAGTTAGAACCTCTATAAAATGCCTAACTAATATAATATTTTAAGTTGGTACTGTACAATGACATATGACAGGTCACCTTTTTATTATTGATTGTTCTGTGTGAAGCCCACTGTGTTGCTTATACAATAAAACTAATTCATAAGTAAATCCTGATTTATTTAAATAATCCTGAATGGATATTTAATCTGTGTTTATTACAATAAGTTATTATTAAAGCGATTAATATGACATTTGGGTCAATAATACTTGCGTGTAAGAATGTTTTGCAGTTATAATTTTTTTCCACCAGTGCACAATGGGCCAATTTTATAAAACCTGGCCAAAATTCATTAATTAATTTAAGGACAAACAACAAACATTTTTTGGCGTTTATGATTTTATTTAACGATGAATACACTATTAGCAAAAGTTGTTTACATGAAAAATATAGTTGATTACTAAAATTAGTCACTGTCAGTAGAACTATCATTATCAGAAAATAATATTTGTCCCATACTTTGTTCTATATCTTCTGAAGCAGAGCCAACTTCTTCAGGAGCACAAAGCAGGTGTAAAACTTCTTTACTGAGATGGCCACTGTTTTTTAGGCAATTTTCGCAAGCTAGTAATAAAGGGACCTGAAGAAACAAGAAGGCAGTTTAATAAATTTTCTACTGTATTTTCTCTGGATATTCTCCTAGTAGGACCTCTTCGAAATATTTTAAGATCCTTGTTTGTGCATTCTTGTGCCTCCTCAGACAGTTGTCCGATTGGCAGAATTCATAGAAATAGTATAGAAAGCCGATTCCATATATCAAAAATGAAACCATAAGGAGAAAATAGTGTGTCGGAGCTCATGCGTATAACGGTGCTGGCGCGAACAGGACTGGTGCAAGTTTTTTATTGATCGAACAAATAGGTCACACGATATTTCAATCATACATTTTTAGAGATGATTCTATACAAAAAACGATTAAAAAAATTTCAAGTTAAGGTAAATATAATAATAATAATAATAATCGACTTTATTGTTTTTAGTATAACAAGAATACATTTTTATAACATTTAATTTATACCATAAAAACAAAAGGCGAAGTTCAATTTATCTGGTGACGGATCACCAGTAAATTGTTCTTCCACTTAACCTGAAATGAAATGCCGCAAATCTAGTGCAAACAATAAAACATAATTCCTTAATAATAATAATAATCTGCCTTTTCTCTAAACAAAATTTAATTACTCATATTTTTTAATGTCTCAACGCAACGATTCATCCTTTACCGTTCAAATAAGAATTTTTTAATAGCCCTTTTAAATAGTTTTACAGTGTAAGTTTTATATAGTGCTGGGATATCATTATAAATAGAACATATTTGGTAAGTAAAGCTACGTCTAAAAAGTTCCAACCTGAAAAAAGGAGGGGAAAGAATACCTTTATATCTGACATTTAGATTGTGAACATGAGTCCGATATGTTACTTTTTTGTGCAAGTATGAAGGTGTCTTATTAACAATAATTTTATGAAAAACAATTGATGCATGCATAATCCTCCGGTCCGCCATATTTAACCAGCCATTCTCTTTCAATTTATGACTGATGTGCTCTCTTCTCCGATGGTTCTGACAGTCCTTATTAAGAAAGATATGGCATAAAATATGAATTAGTTAATTTTCGGCAATCATTAGTACAGTAGTCATGAGATTTTGCTTGTGATTTTAAAAATACTTTCCAGAAAAACCACGTGCTCCGCTTTTGACTACGTTTATTATTAAACAGCGAAATTATATACAAAAACTTTAATCCACAATCTAAATTAGGTACTATCACAAGAAAATCACTGTTACAATAATTAATTACTTAACCAAAAACTAAAATACTTTTTAGGTACCTACGTAACCAGAAAGGAGCTGGACCATTTATCCTAATATTGATTTTCTCTCTCCCTACGGTAAAACTTAAAACAATAACAAATTGCCTATCTACTAGGGTCGGTAACTAAACGTATATACATAATGGGCGGATTTTGTTTATACTTAACATTACACTCGCGCATTTAAATATAACTATGCATATAAATATTTACAAACAAAGATACTTTTCCAAACAGGCTATCATTAGTACTGTAGTCACGAGATTTTGCTTGTGATTTGACATCTTATTTGATAATATCATTTGCTACAACTAAATTTAATCTGGGGACTGCAAAATAGGGCCCAGGAATATTATGTTCGATATTTTTTTACATTTTGTCAGCCGAGACTATGAGTCGTTAGACAGAAAACCTTTCATGTTACCATTTTCAATATAAATTAAAAAATTAAAAAATTCTACTACATTTACTTGGTGCATATTTTATTTTAATTTTGAACCCTTTTAAAAGGGTCTTTCGGTTCCATAATAAAAATTAGTTGCTGCTTACTAGAAACATTCTATATAGCCTAAACCAATTTATAGTTTGTTTTAGATCAATTTAATACAAAGATTTAAAGTTTTTAGTCGATGATAACATTCCACACCAGCACATTGCAAACCTATTTTATAAATAATAGGAATAAACTTGTAAATCATTAATTTGGTAGTTATCTCACTCATATGATTTTTTTGTTTATATGACTATTTCAATTTCTAAATATATTTTGGCCTTACAATACGAAGCGTTTTGTATCTACCACTTTTTTAATGAACGATGAATGTTGACAGGCGTGTACCTTTTTCGGAACAAGAGGCGTTTTAACGAAGGAAATGATTTTCGAACTATCTAGTTAGTTTTCGGAAAAATAGAAAACGTTTGAAGAAAGTTGTCAATAACAGTTTGTCGTTCATGTGTTTCATTTTGATCAGCTTTCATACTAAATTGCGTAGAATATTTTTCCGATTCAAAATCGAGATTCTCGATATTTCCACAGTTTATTTATAATACCTTCTAAACTGGATTTATCTATCATTTTATATACTTTATAATATATGTTCATGCCCTACTTTTCACTTTATTAACAATTTTTTTTTAACATACTTCAAAATGGTAGGATATTCTCAATTCGTTGAAATATTTTTTTATGTATGTTGAGCGATAATTCTTTACCACGTTGCCCGATTTCTAGGATTCTTTTTGTTAGAAAAGGAAACAGTATTATATACATTAAGTCAAGATCTGAAGATGGGAGATCCATAAGAAAATCATTAACATCTTTATTTTTAAAGTAGGTTTTTTTTTAAATTTCTTTAAACCTTACTGGTTCGAACGCGGTAAGGAATGAAGAAATGTAAATAATTGTTGTGCCAGCCAAAAAGCAAAGAGGAAGTACCGATTAAAATATCGAGTGACAGAAGAGTTCCTAAGATTGTTGAGATCCGGTTTATGTTTGAAAATGCCTTAAAACCGATATCGATAATGTCTCCCCGTCGCTGGGCAGCCTGTATATAAATATACAGCTCTCTATTTACATAATTATAATTCTTAGGTAGGTTTAGATTTGCAGACATAAATCTTGTAATAAATATAACAGCTGCCTAATACATTGATTACATTTTCATTAGCCAATGTAAAAATGTCTTTTATTGTACCTAGGATTTGACTAAACACTACACAAAACTAAAAATAAAATGCCACTTTCATCGTGTAATTAATGCCGCATTTGAGAATCCACATCGGATGCATTTTTTACATCTTGAGCGTTTTTTATCCACATCCGACACATCTGTCCCATTACATTTACGTATACTGAATCACGTGATCAAAGATTTACTACTTACTACATCTCAGATGCATCCGATGTGGATTCTCAAACGCGGCATAAATAATAAACTACAAACGGTCCTGTAAGGGCAGCGTCATATAGCCTTGAAACACCGGATTTTAGTGCTATTGCCAGGTTAATATTGAATTTGTAGGTGAATCGCTTATTGAACATTAAAAATACGGTATTAATGACATTAATACGGTATTTGTATATATTTTTGGGAATGTAATTACACATAAATATTATTAGTTGATTATTTAAATGTTTATAAGTTATTTTGTGGCGATATTTCGTAGATATAAACTGTTTAAATCATATAATTTAAAAATTAATTAATTTAAAATTCTTTTCTGTTAGGTATATTTAATATATTTGGCAACACTACAGGGACAAGTCATGCATATTGCGCAAGCTTCTAGACACACTATTTTGCGATGTCAGGCGCAGAGACGCGTTTTTATGCACAGTAGGTTTCAATTTCTGCTTAAATGTTATGTTTATATTGGTCTTCTATATTATTTCTATGGTAGAATTGCATGGTCAATTATAACAGAATGAATTACAATTTTGTGCATACTCACAGGCATATAAAACCAAGGATACTCTTGTACAAACAATCTTGTATCCCGATGAAAATGCTTGTAGAATTGTTCCAAAACGTTTAATCAAACTGTAATTAATACCAATTATACGGGCAGCAATATCTGGGTATTTAAAAAGTTTCCTTGCTGTGTTACCGTCATTTATTATTCCGTTTCCTCCAGGTTTCACTTGGTCGACTAGTAGTCCTAGTTCTTGCCTCAGCCTCTGCTGAACTTCCATTTTCCTAGCCTCTAACAGGTCTTTATCACCTCTTCGGGCCTGCAATTTTTCGAATGGTAATCGATAGGAAACATGCAACAGGCACTCGAAAAACTTAATCCACGCATGTAATGTTGATAATCCGAAACGAAATGATTCTTTATTCACATTTTTAGCTTTGACTCTGTCAATCTGATTCATTTCTTTAGGGGTTGCGTGACATATGTAGCAAGAGAGCGAAGACGTTTGAAACGAAGCAGCATTGCATATTTTTCCGTCAACCATAGTCAGTAGCATGGTGTACTTTACTGAAAATAGTTTTCCTTTAATATTCACTTCATATGGTATCAGATTTTTAATTTGTTCTTCGATACAGCGAATTTCTTCTTGGGAAAGTTCTGCAGTTTCTTTCTTGAACTGAATTTTTATCGGTCTGCAGTATCTTACAGAAGACGGTCGAGGATTTTGCCATAAAACAGACAATCTGTATTTTTACCACTTAATTGTAGGGGCACAAGTGAAGTAATGAAAATGTCAGAGTCACTGAAACCTTCAGGTAATACTTGCTTATACTGACTATGCCCCGTACTGCCATCACAGCTCCACTTTAATATTAGATTTAATTCTTGGGAAATATTGTCCAACGAAATTTGGTCAAACACGTCCTCTTGAACCAGCAATATTCTGGAAGCTGTGTGATCCAAAAGATCTTGTAATTTAATCTCCGCTACCACTGGAGAAATCATAATCGACTCCGACTTAGGAAACCTTTTTTTTTCGCAGATCGAACGTGGTTGTAGCCTAGATAAATGTCAGCATTTTTTATTTTAGCATGTGAGCAAATTAAATTATACTGATGTTTCGTTAACTTGGCCTCAATCATCAGGGACAAAGATTCATCGCTTGTATATTTAATCGGTTTACGATGCGATTCCTGCCATGCATGCAACATTTTGGCAGCCCGGTTTGGACTTGCTTCCAATGCTTCGCCAAGAATCTTTACAGCATCGTGTTTCCCTTCGGCCCGTAAATTCATTTTTAGCGCATATGTAATTTCGGCGTTACCGGCTTCTGAGCGAAGTTGTTCTATTTTGCGTCTTTTAGTTCTTTCACTACTCTCTTCAAATGATAGGGATGGTCGACCTACTTGAGAAGTTGATGCTGAACTCATGCTGTCGTATTCAACATTAATAAGTGATACTTCACATTGTAACCAACTTTCATTTTTTTTTAAGAAACGATCTTTATTCCTAGATGATGCTTCCCATCTCTTTGCCAGTTCACCACAAAATCGAGAAACATTTTTACTTTCCTATCTGTATACAGATATAAGGAAAGTATAGGAATCATGATTTTTTTCAACCTCGAGTTTTCGACGGATTTTTACGTTTTGAGGTCCCCTGAATCCGTTTTGACTATTTTCGCGATGATGATTGTGTGTGTGTGTGTGTGTGCGTGGGTGTGCGGGTGCGTGGGTGTGTGTGTGTGTAGGTCGCATAACTCATGAACCGATACACAGAAAAACACCAAATTTTAAACTTAACCTTTATTTCAGCGTCTAATGAACTGATTAGATTTTGGGCAGAGTCGGAACATCTGGGGGGTACTTTATAGGTGCTCATATTTTATGGAATATATCTGTTATTTACGTTTGGAGAAGAAAATTCTTCAAATAAAAGTTACTTTTAATATAATTATCTATAATTTTTGTTCTATACAAAATTTTCCTAAAATGGTCCGTATTCGAGAAATTTGACAAAATGTAAAAAAAATATATTTTTATAAAAAATTTTCAAATAAAAGTTGTTTGTAATATAATTCTCTATAATTTTTATTCCATACATAATTTCTCTAAAATGGACCGTATTTGAGAAAATGTGTAAATTTCGAATATTGAAGAAAACTCAAAAACGGATAAAGAAAAAAACATTAAATTTTAAACTTAAGGTTTATTTCGGCCTGACGTGAAATGATTAGATTTTGGACAAAGTCGGAACATCTAGGGGGGTACTTTATTGGAGGCCGTTTTTATATTTTATGGAATATATCTGTTATTTACGTTTGTAGAAGAAAATTCTTCAAATAAAAGTTACTTCTAATATAATTATCTATAATTTTTGTTCTATACAAAATTTTTCTAAAATGGTCCGTATTCGAGAAATTTGATAAAATGTAAAAAACATATTTTTTTACAAAAATTTTTCAAATAAAAGTTGTTTGCAATATAATTCTCTATAATTTTTATTTTTTACATAATTTCTCTAAAATGGACCGTATTCGAGATATTTGGGAAAATGTGTAAATTTCGAATTTTGAAGAAAACTCAAAAACGGATAAAAAAAAACATTAAATTTTAAACTTAAGGTTTATTTCGGCCTGACGTGAAATTTTGGACAAAGTCGGAACATCTGGGGGGGTACTTTATGGGGGGCCGTTTTTATATTTTATGGAATATATCTGTTATTTATGTTTGGAGAAAAAAATTGTTTAAATAAAAGTTATTTCTAATATTATTATCTACAATTTTTGCTTTATGTCAAAATTTCCTGAAATGGTCCGTATTCGAGAAATTTGACAAAATGTACAAAATTCTGATTTTTATGAAAATTGTTGAACTAAAAGTTGTTTGCGATATCGATCTCTATAATTTTTGTTTATACATGATTTTTCTAAAATGGACCGTAATGGAAAAGTGCTAAATTTAAATTTTTCAGTATTTTCGTTTTCAATGAATATCTATAGAAAAATGTTTCGAGGTAGATGTATGTGGACAATGTATATGTTTAGTTTATCCTCTAAACATTTATAGAGTTGCTGCAATAGGTTGTACAAAATAACCGGAAAAAGCCTATAATAACTAGATAGGAAAGTCATGTGTTGGACACATCAGATTTTTTATTATATCTTGCCTATATTTCTGTAAATGCTCTTCACTAAAAGAATTCACTATATTATCCTCAAGAGCTTTATTTTCTCGGTAATATTTCTTCCCGATATTAGCCAAACTTCAAAAAGCTCAAGGCGTGAATAAATCCTTTTGTTTTCTGCAAAAAAAAAATAGTCTGTAACTATATCGCGAAATCATAGTACTTAATTTTATGCGTGCTAAAATTTGCAGGACGTATTACTTTTTGCTATATTAATTGGAGTCGCACTTTGGCGCAGTATTTTTCTTTAGAAAAGATTAAAGGACATTCGGATGCATATCACAGAATAAATAATTTCGCCGGGAAATACAATAAAATTTTCATATTTCTAGTGAAAGTGAGGAATCCTGTACAAAATATGATGTAAAGTAAGCGTATTAAAGATTATTTGCTATCGTGTTTGAAAAAAAAGTAAACTACGCAAAAAATATCCTACAAATAAGCACATACCTTAACCATATTCGGTTTAGATATAAGCACTTCGGTAACAGTTCTTGGAGCACTTCAAATATATGTATCTGAAAAACACTTTTATTCGCTAAACAGCTCTGTATTACATCCGTCCACTTCAACGATTTGTAAATAAGTAACTAATGCGAAACTGATAATTTTATTGTCAGGTACCTAAAATTTAATGAATTTACAGCAGTGAGGGGTCAATAAAACCATACTGTCAAACATCTCTTAAAAGGGTATTTTGGCCGGGATTTATGATTTCTGGCCCATAGTGCAGTGGTGTGTTATTTTAGTTTTAGAATGTTTTGTGTTCAACCCTAGATTTTTTTTAAAATATTACAGGTTTTCCAAGCAATTAATTTTTTTATAAAATTGGAGAATGATGTAGTCCCCAAATTAAATTATCATAATTTAGGTAGCTTTACAATGATTTTAAAATTGTTTAAACTACATACTTACAAGATACTAACCTAACAAATGGTGGTGTTAAAAATGGTTTATTTTACATAGTGTTTTGACACATGTCTCAATAATGGCCAATTTATTATTTAAACATGAAAATCCTTGTATATTTTCCTATCCAATGATACCATGTTACATAGTGTCCATCAATGCGTAATTGATTAAAAAGCCTTTTTATTATTGCCAATACGAAAAAAAAAAAAATAATAATAATATAAAAGTTGTATGACCATACTTAAGAATTATTCTTAAATGTACGGGATCGTGCATAAATGAGGGGCTGACCAAGACTAGAATTTTTTAAAGCAAAACACCTTACCGGTTTGCCATTTGCCACGTTGTATATAGGGTGTGGCAACACGCGATGTTACGATTTTATTTCATACAACTTTTATATTAATTTTTTTTTGTATTTCTAATAATACAACAGCTATCGATCAATTACGCACTGATGGGACACCCTGTAAATGTGTTTTTGATCAACATCTTGGTATCGTTGGATAGGAAAATTTATAAGGAATGTTATGCTAAAATAATATACAGGGAGTTGCATTTGAAAAAATTGAACTTAAAATTAGCCATATTTAAGACATCTTTCAAAACACTATGTATAAAATAAACCAGTACTATCACCATTATTCGTTAGCGTATTATCTTATAAGTCTGTATGTTTAACAATTTTGAAATCATTTTAAACCTACCTAAATTATGATAATTTAAGTTGGGATCTGCATTATTATCTAATTTCATAAAAAGATTAATTGCTTGACAACCGTGTAATATTTTTTAATCATATTCTAGGGTTGAATACAGTATTACCAAATCATTCTAAAACTGAAATAAAATACAGGGTTTCTGTTTAAAAAATGTACTTTGTCAGACAAAACGCAACACCCTGTACGTCCAAAAATATTTTTAAAACATGTATTTTTAAAATCCATATAACTTTTATTTGAAATTTGTTTGGGGGGTGTCTGTAACACAAATTGAAATATTGAACAAGTACGCACTAATGGGACAATAATATTGGCAACTTCGGTTGTCATTTATTAAGACTGTCACATAATGAAGGGTTGCTTAAAAGGTGACAAGTGTGTGACGCGCTAAGATAGTAAGGTATATAGTGCATCTGAGTCGGAAAGTGTTTTTGTAGGGGGTAAATATGAGTAGATAATTGTATATATCAATGATTTAGTGCACACATGTATTTAGAAGAAATGAGTCTTTTCGTGAAAAGTAATTTTTGAACTAGTCCGACGGACATGTCCGGAAAAGTAGTGAAAAGTAATGAAAAGTAGTCGATCTTGAGCATAGAAGATATAGTTAAATTTCCATCCTGGATGTTTTTTTCAAAAACACTTTGGGAACAATATTTGCATTTGTATTTTCGTCTTTTTAGGCAAATCATTTGTAAAATACTGCCAACTTTTGGATGTTTTGATAATTTTTTAACGAGTTTATTTTAATAAGATATGAAACGAAAATTCGAAAACATCGTTAAAACATAGAAGTCAGTAAACATTTGTCATCTCTTAAACCAACGATATATGATGATTTATAATATATTAGTTGTATAATGACAATCACAATGTCATCACAATATGAAGGTCTATGACTGAGACTCACTTGAGTTAGGTTTATACATGAACCTAAGAATCCAAATTTTGACCAGGCATGCAAAATTCATAAGCATCTTAAAAAGAAGAAGAAAAAAAAATGGTAAGAAGAACAATCGTAAGAACCGAAAGAATAATCGTAAGAAATATCGCAAGAACTAGTATCGTAAGAACTAGAATCGTAAGAAGAACAATGGCAAAAAGAATCGTAAGAAGAACAATCGGAATAACAATCGTAAGAAGAATCGGAAAAACAATCATAAGAACTAGAATCGTAAGAAGAACAATTAGATGAACAATCTGAAAAACAATGAAAAATAATCAGAAGAAGAGTCGGCAGAAGAATCGGAAGAAGAATCAGAAGGAAGTATCGGAAGAAGAATCAGAAGGAAGTATCGGAAGAAGTATGGGAAGAGGAATATGAAGAAGAATAGGAATAGGAAAAAGAATAGGAATAGGAAGATAAGAAAAAGTAGAACCATCGATTTAAACAGAAAAAGAACAGCATATAAAGGGCGTTTATATAACATTTATCCTAATTCTTGGAATTTCCTGAAAAAAAAAAAAACAAAAAAAAATCAAATGCTTAGAGTAAATTCAATAAAAGAGAAAGAATTTTTGAAAAATTCCAAAAAGTCAATTTTGATTTTAAATTCCACACTTTTTGAATTAATATTCGAATATACAGGATGATGTGTGTAAATATAATGACGCTATAGGCATTTTTTTTAAATAGCGCCCCTCATTTTTTATTCCATATTCTAATGCACCATTCAATTAGTAATGTAATAAGTTTGTTACCTTACACAAGGAAATTCGAATGTATTCCATACTTTTGATGCACACTGTATGTAATTCTTATTGAAAAAAGCGAAATTATATTACAGATTATACCATAGAAATACTAAATTGGTATCTATTGTCAATATTTAATTTTTTTAACTTTGGTAAGTTTTGAAATTTTTCATCCAGAAGGTCAAGACGTTAAGGCGCTAGTACGGAACGCCAGATAATGCGGGTTCTAATCCTGCCGGAGCCCGAGTTACGATTTTTTTTCAATTATTATTCGATTTGTTTAATTGTATTTACCTTTGTAGGCCGATCTGAGCGTCGAAAACATAACCACCAAAAAGGTGGTCGAGTATTTTCCGGCGTTTACCAAATGAGGAAAGGCATCTTTGGAATCGTAATATCGTCTAAGGCACTGAGCGAAACGTAGCCACGCAGGAATGCAATTCACCAACGGTCTTATAGTGAAATTCCTTTCCATACATTGCGAAGTATCTAAAAAAAATATATAATTTTAAGAAAATATTAAATCAGGCACACGCTGGTGAAAGTTTCATAAGTCATGTACAAATCTAGGTCATCGACTTCGAATTAGTCTCCGCCAGGGATTCAAAAAAATATTGTAACGATTGTTTAATTTAAAAGTTAATCGAAAATAATAAATTTCTTTGAAAAGTCGAAAAAAGTTGATTCATAAAAAATAATCGATTAAACAAAAATAATCGATTAATCGAAAATAATCGATTAATCGAAAACAATCGATTATAGATTTTCCTAAAAAACATTATACCATGACTAGGACTAGCAGTAACATAAGGCAATTTCTAAATTTTATACTTTTTTCACTTACCTCCAGCTTCTAGCCAGTTGCCGTTGGTGAAATAGAAACAAGTTAAAAATTGGAAATCTAGAAAAGCGGAGGTTAAGCTGTTGAGCTGATCGGCCAACCAGAAATCGGCGAAGTCGACGTGAAAAAATGGAGCTCCAAACATGCGACCCTTGATATAAAAAGAAAAAATGAATTTCTTTTATTTTATGATCTCAAAAGGACATTTAAAAAATGCTGTGATGTAAAAAACAAGGCGAGTATATCAGTGTGTAAGATTAAAGCAAGCGAGCGCTTACAAAGCAATCATCACAGCCTTCGTTCAATAGATACCTCAAGAAAAAAGAAAAATTTGAATAACAAACAATTATTATGAAAGGTAAATATGTTGGCTATTCCTGTCCCTTTTTTATAAAAGGAAATAAAAGAAACAAATAATGTATTTTTATTTCAAAGTTTTTCTGTTTTGTTGGGTTTTTTATTTTTTGTTTTCTTTTTGTTTTCTTTTTGTTTTTGTTTTGTTTTTTTATAATATATATTTTTGTTATTTAGCAAATGAAATAAAAGAAATCATTAAATGAAAAAGCATTGTTGCAATGAAATGCCAGAGCTTCCGATATAATTTCTACAACTTACACATATCCTCAAGAACCAAAACCTGGCATCGTGCCGGAACACTTTAAATGGATTGATCAGGAACGCTATCATGATCAACGTCAACGCCAGCGGATTGACGTACGGCGGAATGCTCAAGCTGGAACTATACAAGAAATTCAGCAGGCTTAACGCCCAAACGACGCCGAATATAGCGGCCAGTTCCATGAGATGCTGCTCGGACAGATGGTTTCTGGGATCGAGTTCGAAGATCAGCACGTGATTGACGCCAGAAGATCGCCATCCGTAAATGTTGACGCCTATTAAGAAAAGGATTTCGATGATCAGCAGCGGCCCTCGGTAGAGGCGGAACGCTACCTTTAAATTTTCGCTGGAACTGTCGTGGAAAATGGCTGAAACGGAAATAATAAGAAAATCACCTTCGACCATAATGATAATGTTTTAGACTACCTACCCGATAGTACCACTGCTATGAGCAAAACTATAAAAGAACCCGAGAACAATCCGACCTTGAAAGTGGTCCACGGCGATTGTTGTTCTCCTAAGGGGGGCACCCTCAAACGTTTCATGGCCTTCTGCCTGTCGCCTCCCTCGAGATCATTTGTAACGCTATTTTCCGTATCGTTGATTAAGTTGTCGATGTCTTTGTTGGTAAAAAAGTGAGAAGCTTCTACGTGTTCCTGTCTCCATTTGGCACCGATGTCAGTCGACAGAAGCTAAAAATCAATAATCTAGTATATGGAATAATGAAGAATTCTCCTATTTTTTTATATATAAATTAATGGATATTTACATAAAAATAGGGGCGTTTATCTGGCAAACCAATGGACATATTTTGTTAAAAATTGGCAAACATAGTAAACAGGAATTATATCTCCATGTGATATATTTGTTTCAATTTTAATTACTTTTCCGTTCTTAGTTCTATAGTTACCAGATTAAGTTCATTACTTGTTTTATGATAAAGGAGTGGATTTTTTGTATAAAGTGTAATCAGATATCCATTGTTGCTTACAACAGTTTTAGATTATCAATGATTAGGATTAGGATGATTGAAAAATATTTAAAACTAAAATGTATGCACTATGTGAGAAGATTTTTGGAAAACTGTAGATACTATAATAATAATAATAATAATAGACTTTATGTTTTTACAGTAAATAAATACATATAAAAAGGTACATGGAGTTAAAAAAAAAATAGATAAAGTGTTAACAAACACTTGTTTCGAAGAAATAAAAATGTTAAAAACATACAAATAGAAAAGGTAAGTAAATACGAATCTAACTAAAAACTACAAAACTAGAACTAAAAATGAATACTTTTGATCATTTGGGATTTTTGGGATCAGTCTGAGGATTGGATGCTAGAGAAAAATATTAAAAATACTAAAAATTGGTAATGTTATTTAAAGGTAAGTAAAACTGAAGAGGTAAGTAAAAGTAGTAAATAAAAGTAATAAATAAATGTGTAAATAGTTATTCCCTAGTTTCTATTAATTGATAATAAATGTTCTATTACTATTTCTTATTCACTTATTTCTCATCTTTCATTAACATTTATAAGCTATTATAAACTATGGGCCATTTTTTTTATTAAGTTTTGATAATATTTATAGGCTATTTCGGGATCAATAAAGAAACTAATTGAGCCTGTGTCAAATAAAATTTTTATGTTATATTTCGTAAGAATAATGTAAGGAAGTTCGCTAAAATACGAGGTATTAACAAGAACAATTTTTGCACTTAGATTAATTTTTAGTTGCGCGCCTTTTTCAGAAAAATTATATTTTTATTTGAGGTATTTAATCGATTAAATCTTGACATTCGGAATCAAACATTGTAATGGTACTTCTTTTATACAGTTTTTCTTCAAACGCCTCTATTGCCCCATCTCTTTCCTTGCAATGACAATTCATCTGAACCTGTCAATCGGGAGACATTTTCGATTGTCATTCCTTCCCCAATTTGGAGTCGGAAATACCTAATTTTGATATATTGAGATGATCCTCTGATTAAGAGATTCTTTTTCATTTTTAAATTATGCTATGCAATATATGGATGGTTTTATGTGAAGAACGATTTGGATGACTTTTTTATCACATGAAAAATTATTTAGAAGATTTTATACTTGGATATATGACGAATGATTTGTTGATTTGGATAGTAATTAACGTCTTGAAGTTATAAGAACATAATGAATGACTGACGTCTGGAAAACTAGAAGGATTTGCTGATTTGGATAGTAATCAACGTCTTGAGTACAGAAGAATTATAATAGGCTGTCATCGTAGATCAGACCTGATGAAGCCCTACCTCGTTGAGATAAGTCAAAATTTGTATTGTACCGAATACTATTTTAAAATAAATAACTTCAAAAGTCATTTTATTATTAGAAACTCTTGTAGATTAGAATTTGATTTTACCGTATCTTCTGAAGCCATATCCTTTATTTTTCATTAAAATATAATAGTAATTTTTGCTTCCGTATTTTTATCAATTGGTTTTGTACGTAGAGATATGCGGTGGTGCCAATTTCCTAATTTCAAGGCAATTTGAGTTATTATATCCTAGTACCCTATCCACGACCCTAACGTTACATATATTGGCGCCCAACGTGGGTCAGCAATTAATTGTTGGTATCCGTAATATCATAGTTTGTAGAATCGGTAAAATTATTAGAACTATTTAGATTGAAATTTTCATAAAAATAGATTTTATTACGATTATTTGCATTAAAATTTTGATACAATGAATTAGGATTTTCGCATTCGACATTAAATAATTCTTCCGATACGAAATTTCGAGGACCATTTGTCTAGTTTGTAGACAATTGTCTATTAAATGGGCGTGTATTTTTTGTTGAAACGGACATAGGAGTTGGATTAGGAAAACTTAAATTTGGATTATGTTTGAATGCATTTTTGTTTTGGTTAGAATGGCCAAAAAATTGACGGTTTGTAGGAAAATGTTGATGTATTGGTCTGAGCTGAACTGGAATTGGTTGAGACTGTTTTGATTTTGTCTCATATGAAAATTATTAGAATTGAGTGAAAAATTTGAATTTTGATACTGAATTTGCCTTTTATAGAAATTATTGGGATTAAATAAAAAGTTAGGATTTTGATTTTGCCGATAATTCGGTCTATAGGATTAAAACTTTTGTCTTGAAACATGAGTTGATTTTGGCAATTTTTTTACAGGATTTTGCGAATAATGGGCATGTTTTTCTTTTAATATAAATTGCAGTGCTTCACTTAATGAATCTGGTTCCATACAGCGACTAGTAGTACCCAACTGTTTTTTTTTTAATTCAGAAAGAAAAGTTTTTAAAATTAAATTTTTATACAAATTTCTTTTAAGAAGTTTAGCTGTATCTGTAGTTTCGTGAATGTTTACATAACTAAAGAGTAGATTTAAAATATGAAGGCATCGCTCGTAAAAGTCTTTTGAAGCTTCATTAAAAATTTTTTAGGAATACGAGATCATTATTTAAGCAAACTTCATCTCGTTGATCGAAAAAGTTACTAGTTAGTACAGTTTTTAAATGATCCCAGTTTTGACAACTATTAATATTAATTACTGTTGCCTTTCAATTTTGAATAAATAAAACATTCTGAAAATCTGTTGTTCTATTATAAAATTTGTTCAAAATCGATTCACTAACAGACAGAAATCAGTCTAAGTCATTAATATGTCCATCAAAATTAGGAATACAATCTAAATATTATAATTTAAATTGAGCCATATTTGCTTAAATATTGATTATCGGGTTTTTGCTATTTATTAAATCTAAGTTTGAGTCAGTGGAAGGAGAATCGTTTATATTTAAATTGTCAAGGATCGGCGATGTCTGTCGTACACAGGACGTTTTCCTCTCGAATTCGGGCGATTGGTGTCCAAAATCTCGATGATCCACTTGTGTAGACTGAAACAGATCCTCAATGGATGCATGAGTTACCAATTAACTCACTGAACAAGTACCTCCACAGTTTCTCGACAAAAGCCACAAACGAAAATTGCTCATCCGATATGCACAACCCGAAATATCCTTCTGACTGCGTCAAAAATCTCAAATAGAATAAATAATTCGTTTTAAAACACTTTTATTGAAAAAATTACAAATAACCAGATAAAGTTGAAATATAACAATATGAATACTTCTAAAGCTAATTACTTTACTAAAGAAAACTATTGTCAGCAGTTTCTATTGGCCTTCTTGAATATAGGGTGATATAATTCCGCCGCCCGAAGAAAATTGATCAAATAAAAGTTGTTTGCGATATCATTCTCTGTATTTTTTGTTTTATACATGATTTTTCTAAAATGGACCGTAATGGAAAAAATTGAGGAAACGTATAAAATTTTAATTCTTCAGTAAGATGTGTGTGGAAAATGTATGTATGTATGTAGTTCATCTTCTAAACATTTACAGGAGTGCTACAATAGGTTATATAAAATAACCTGAAAACGCTTATAAAAACTAGACAGGAAAGTCATGTATTAGACAAATCAGGTTTTTAGATTTAGTTTTTGTTGATAATCTTGACATAAGTATTGCACTATTGAAGGGGTTATTTTGTGTTATCAGGTACCCTCTTCTTAATCTGGTAAATACGGTCCTTGTAAAGGGTACGTTTCCCAGTGATTTAAAAGTTAGTGTAATTGTGCCAATAGCCAAAATATCATGTCCAACAAGACCAGAAGATTGTAGGCCTATAAATTTATTACCATCTGCAGATAAGATCATTGAAATTGTAGTAAGAGATCAGCTCAAGTCTTATTTTGAAGACAATAATATTTTGTATGAGGGACAGTCAGGGTTTAGAGACCAACATTCTTGTGAAACAGCTCTCCAATTTGTTTGTGCGAAATGGAGAAATGATATGAATGAAAATAATATTATTGTTAGTGTTTTTATTGACCTTAAAAGGGCTTTTGAAACAATAAATAGAAATTTTTTATTAAAAAAGTTGCAAAATTACGGTGTAAATTCGGTAGCATTAAATTTAATTAGGGAGTATTTGTCTAATAGGTATCATAAGACTAAAATAGGAAATAATATATCTAGTGAAACAGAAAGCCACTACGGGATACCGCAAGGAAGTGTGTTGGGTCCGCTTTTATTTATTATTTATGTAAATGACATTCATAAACGAATAAAAAAATAAAAAGATCATTTATTAGACTTTTCGCGGACGACACGCTCATTTCAGTATCTGGTAGAGATTTTCAGTAAATAATTCAAATATTAAATGAAGAATTGTCTATTTTGTATGACTGGCTGTGTGTAAATAAGCTTAAATTAAATACTGCAAAAACAAAATATATGATCCTAGGATCAAAAGCACAATGAAGACAACTTAATGCGCATGATCAAGTAGTAGAAAAAGTGGTGAACCAATTGAACAAGTACTGGAAATAAAATATTTAGGAGTCATTATTGACCAACAATTAACTTTTAATAATCATGCCAATTACTTATGTAAAAAATTAGGTAAAAAAATTGGTTTTTTAGAAGGATTTCATGAAACTTGTCGCAATGGTCAAAATCTCTGATTTATAATACAATAATACGCCCACATTTTAATTATTGTAATGAATTACTATTATCAGCTACTAAAGAAAACATCAACAGATTGCAACTGTTACAAAATAAATGTTTAAGGATAATATTAAATTGTAATATTTACACTTCGGTCAGGGAAATGCATGAACAGCTGAATGTCTATACAGTTGAGCAAAGCATTAAAATGTCGAATTTAATACTAATATATAAGATGATACATCACAAAACTCCGAAATACCTTAGTACACTACTTGTAAAAAGATCTGAACTTCATTTACGTCCACTCAGATCAATGGACAATTTTAATATTGATTTCACAAAAAAATCTTTTTTGATGGGCTCATTATTGCAGGAAGGGATTCGTCTTTTTAATGCGTTGCCTAAAAATATAAAAGATGTCCCAACTTTAGGTAGTTTTAAAAATATGATTAGTAATTATCTAGGTTTAGGTAACCTATAGTTTTAAGTTTAAATTGTAAATATTTGTTTATAACTAGCTGAAAGCTAAATAAAGAATTTACTTACTTACTTAATTACTATTTATGAATGTTTTGACTTAATATTTGAAAATAATTATCATTATAAAGTCCTGGACTTGGCAGTTGAGTCCTACAACCCGTTAGTTTATAATGAATATTTCAGAGATTACAAAAATGCTGATTACATTGCTCTCAACAGCTTTCTTGGTCTTATTAATTGGAAACATATTTTAAGCAGTAATGCAGATTAAGTTTTGGACAACTTTTATATCATATTAATATTATTTTTTTATCAAAAACTGTTGAAGATGAGTGTAGGGAAATAAACATGAACTATGTAAAAATATTATAAATAATTAAATTACGATTGATAAAATAAGACATCCACGACGAATTTTTTACTTTTTTCGTTTTGAACTTAATCTTTACTCATATTGTTATTTATTATTCACTATTTTTTTTTTTTTTTTTTTTTTTTTTTCAAAAATCGTTCAAGATGAGTATAAAAAAACAAATACCATTTTCACTTATTTTTGGCTGGAGAATATGATAAAATAATAAAAAAATTATGTATCTATTTAAAAAATAGAAAATATTGATGTTTTTTTAAATCAAAATTATGCACTGCATTAGACAAAGTGCCACTAAAATTTTATAGTTCACCGAAATCCGGAATAAAAATAGGGGTATCCTATTTAAAATAAGAAAGTTGACAACTACTTCCGATGTAAGCCAAAATGACAGAACAGTTAAAATATTTTAGATAGAAAGATCATCTACTATTCTTACCAATTTTTAACAAAATTCGTTCATTGGTTTGTCAGATATAGATAGTGTCCCCCATCGCTGAACAGTCTGTATAGGTTTCGTTCATATTTTTTTAATTTATTACCAATTCTGAGAAAAAGTGCCTTCATACAATATATTTTTAATAAAAATTTATATTTTATGTCTTTACAGGCATTTATCTAAATGAGTGCTAATTAAAATTAAATGTTACTACATAATCATTTAGATAATAGCACTTTAATTACTTTCTCAATACCAGGTACTTAAAATACTCACAGGATATCAGTTTGTAATTTTATTTATCATTATAAAAAGCATACTTTTTTTTACTGAAAGAAATAGGTATCAGATGGACGTCCTTCTTTTGTGACATTACATTTGTACCTACTATAGCTAAATTATTGCCTTACCTTATCATGTTTTTTTAAAATCTTCCTAAAACCAGTGTGATTCAATGTCTGATAGTTCTGGAGTAATATAAGACTTAAATAAAATTCGCTGAAAGCCAATTTCAGCTCCTGCAGCTTCCTGGTAGGCACGGTTCTTCTGTTTTTCTTTCCCATGCCGATGCTGTTGAGAGAATCCTTCAGTTCGCTGTGCAGGCTGGCGAATTTCCTTGTGGCTTCGGCCATTTTTTCCGCGTAAAACGTATTGATCTTCTTCAATTCTTTGTCGCAGTAAAGAAAGAATTGCTCTTCGAAATTCGCTAAGTGTCTTGTAACTACTTCGGCTTCTACGCTTTCTGCCGATGGAGCTTCTTCTACGGCCATGTATAGCATGCTTTTCATCTCCTAAATAACATAATGGAATAGGATTATCTACAGAGCTTATGCAAAAGTTGTACATTCTTGTTGTACAAGTCACAATACAAGATTAGGTAATAAAAAGAACATATAGATACTGAAAATTCAAGATCAAACCGACATATAAAGATATCATTTAGAACTAAGATAGATTTAATCATTTGCATATAACACTAAAACTTGTATAAAGATTCTGAATAGAGGTTCACGCAATTTAAATATCATTAAGTAACTAATAAAAACATTTTGAAAATTGTAAACGAGTCTATCGAAAGTATTTTTTTTAAGAAATTATACTTTAAATCAATTCCACATACAAAAATGTTTATTAATAAAAAAAATTATATGACAACCTGTTTCGGCACTAAGGCCGTCATCAGGCCTGTATAGACTGACAAATGTGTTTTATACAACAGCTGGTAGGAACGTCAAATATGTAAGAATACTTAAAGTAAATATTATGGTCACTTCCTAAACTAACTATTGGCAAAGTGACTATGGTAAAGTGAAGACCAGAATTATTTTACGTGATTTGTCAATTTGATTTCAGTATTACTATTATACCCAAAGCTCCTCTATTTACATTTAAAACCCGGTCATACATTGCAAAGAAACGTAGCGCGTAGCTGTTTCGTAAATGAACCGATATGCGTTTCCTGGCGCGCTGTTGTCAGGCTGTGTAGTTTATCCCTTTCATATTTAAAAATAGTTTTTACCTATAATTGTAGGCAGAGATGTTGCAATATTTCCCGAAACATTTCTAATAGTAAATCTCTAAATAAAATGACTTGTAACAAAACAAAAAACGTATAAAATGTGTACAAAGTAGATTAATCTATTTTAACTGCTTTCAGCAGACTTGATATTTTAGCAGCACCTATTTTTACAACATTAGGCAGGGCATTTTTGTAACTATCGTTTTTACATACATACGCTTGCTAAATAACAACTTTGCAAATACTAAGATAAACTATGGCAAACACCATTATTATTGTAATGAAGTCATTTTTCATTACTATTTTTTTTATTCAATTGCCGAATTAGTGTTCTTATTAATAATTTCAAATCTAACTTTCATTAGTGTAACCACTCGGATGTTTCGTTTATCGCTAGGCTAGGTCCACCCTGTCATGATTCACGAGTGCTACTCATATTTCGTAGAACGATACGTCGAACTGGGACACATAAGAATATTTGGTGATTAGCACGGCATTCTTTCATAGACATTCATTCGATACGTTTTATTTTATGTATTATTATTCTTAACACCGATTAAATTCTATTCTATATTAAAATCCGACTTATTTCATTTAAAATTAATTAACATAGTTTACAGTTCAGGTGTGGGGTGAACTAACTGCTTACCTTTGTTATAGAAAAACGTACGTGGCGTAAGTGAAATACTTTACAGATCGTGCAGAAACTTAAGTTGTTACGTAACTAAAACGGATACCATTAGTTCAGTTATTCAGTGATTCGTGTTAAGATAGTGTTAAGAACTTGGTATTTTGATCGTGTTAAGAACAATGAGCAAAGATTTTAGACTCTGTAGATGTACGATCTGAACGTAATTATATTCCGACGAGACGAGACAATAGTGACAATAGGTCACCCTTTAACGAAGGGGGTCGTAAAAAGAAGCGATAGTTAAGTATATCGCGAGAAAATATAGTACAAAGCGCATCTCATGGCTTATATTCCTGTTCCAGTCAAAAAGTGCAAGTGTTACATATGAAGCTAGAATTAGACAGTTTGAAACAGTAATAGAGAGAATATTAAGACGAAATCATAAGTAATCATCCACAATTCTGCTCGCGCTGGTCGTTACGAAAAACCAGAGGCATTGTTTGAAGGATACCTGCCAAAGGAAAGTATCATTGAAGTATCGACTCAAAAAAAACAGAGGGTTTGATAAAGCCGTTCCTGAAAGTGGAGTTAGGTTATTCACTTTCGAATACACGAAGTACTAAACCGTATACAAAACCTGATGTTTTAAAAGTATGATAAATGTAAAAATAAATGTAATTTTCAGTCAAAGTGTCCGAAACCACTCGTTGAATGCACAGATATCTGTTAGGACACGAAGCAGGACGTTGTGCATAAATGTAAGTAAAAGACCAGCTGATAACAAAATAAGGGTGAGTCGAAACCAATTTTAATTTTATCTAATAATCAGGCGTCTAGTACTTGCTATTTTATTGATTGTGTTATTAACGGTGAATATATACGAGGCTTTGTAGACTCGGGTTGTGATGCAGTTACAATTCGTGAATCAGATGCAGTCAAGTTGCATCTACAGGGTGAGCCCATATTAGTACGTTTGTGTGGTTATGCGGGAGACTTTGTTATAGTACTTTCAAAGGTTACAACTTTGAATATTGATTTAGCTACTTCTACCGTTGAAGTACCGGATAATGTCTCTTGTAGGTTAGCCATTTTTAAATGATGATATGGTTACAGTTTTCGTTAGATGCAACCAAGTATGACATATTTTATTTTAAAATAACGTCAACGTTACACATATTAACGAGTTTTTGTCTAAGAAAATTAATTTATGTGTAGAAGAAACCACTAGCATTCCGCAGAATTTTGCAGGGCTAATTAAAAATGAAAACGTTAAGGGTGTTTTTGTTGATCTAAGATATTTTTATAGATCTAAGATGTTTTTGTTGATCTAAGATATTTTTGTAGATCTAAGATGTTTTTGTTGATTTAAGATATAGAAAGTAAGATAATAATTTTCATATTTTATCGTGTGTTGTTATTAACATAAATAATTGTTGCTGTATTCATGTTGCCAATATGTCCGCTAAATCTGTTTGTTACTAAAAAGATAGAATACTTGCTAGAGGTTATACCTGTACCAGAGTTTCGAAGATAGTTACCATCTCAAACTTGATAAGCAACAGATATTGCTGTATTACCAAATTTTACGTTATTCGATCTTGAGAAACAAACTAATTCAGTATTCAATTGAATTGAACATTCTAAATAACTTAACGAGTATGGGGATTGTTTCGCTACTAGTTTACGAAAGGTTGCTAAAATGACTGTTACGGAAATGTTGATAACATTAAACGATAGCAAAACTGTAATGTACGGTTCATACTGCATGACTTTTGATTTGGTAAATGCTCCTGCTGTATTACAAAGGATTAGGAACAAAATATTTAGACCTACAACGGAGAATGGATGATGAAGACCGGTGGATGAAGGATGAAGACCCATAACAGAGAGGAGGATTAAAGACCCCTAGAAAGAGACAGGATGAGGAAACACCCGCAAAGGACGCCCAAATCGGAATTGAAGATGACACACCAAGGACACGGTAGTAGATTTTGCAGCACTTAAAGATGTCAAAGAAATTCAGCGATTTTAAAAATAAAGAAGCTAGTAGGACGATACATACATGCTATTTATAACAGATAAGTGAAAACTAAAAAACATTGTGACATCAGTAACGTCGGACCAGTAGCAATACTTCTATAACGATAAAATGACAGCACTTTAGGCTAGTATAATATTTTAGTAGAGTCACAACCAAAGAAGAGCAAAAATATCATTCATGAGCTTGAAACTTTGATGGCTGTATGCGCATTTAAAAAGTTCAGTATATATTTAAGTGGCATAAAGTTTAAAATCGTCACCGATTGTAACTTACTTCGTAACACCCGTATGAAACGAGACTTAATTCTCCGCATCGTAAGATAGTGGCAATCAATTCAAGAATTCGATTTTGGTATTGAATACCATGTTGGCACTAAGATCAGCCACGTAGACTTTCTGAGCCGAAGTACTATTATACCCACGGATCAATCACTTGACGTAATGATTGTAAATATTAAGGAGGCTAACCGGATACTTTAAGCACAACTTCAAGGCAACGCTTGTAATAATATTATGAATGTTTTGTCACGAGATCCTAGAGATAATTACGAAAGACGAACGACAAATTTATAAAGAATATTGTTTAAAGAATAGACGATTTTCAAAAACTGCAAAAGGAAAGATGGTTTATCCCAAAAAACAGCATGACTAATAATTTTAATGTTAGTAAATTGCATCACCCTCGTGATAGGTCATTTAGCAGTTGACGACTTTACTAAATTTGTATAAGAGTGTTAGGAAAACTAGTATCTCATCATATCAATTAACGGCTTTAAGAAATTTGTAAAAGTGTTAGGAAAACTCGTATCTCATCATATAAATTAACGGCTTTAAGAAATTTGTATAAGTGTTAGAAAAACTCATATCTTATCATATCAATTTACGGCTTTAAGAAATTTGTATAAATGTGTTAGGAAAACTCGTATCTTATCATATCAATTAACGGCTTTAAGAAATTTTTATAAAAGTGTTAGGAAAACTCGTATTTCATCATATCGATTAACGGTTTTAAGAAATTTATATAAGAGTATTGGGGAAAACTCTTATCTCATCGTAGCAGTTAACGGCTTTACGAAATTTGTATTTTTAAAATTGATACAAGAATACAAAAACTGGGCTGGTGCCTGTACTGAATTTCTAGATGACGTAATAGAAATGTTCAGGGTTCATCGCAGTTTTATTTGCAACTGTGACACTGATTTTATAAAAAAAAATTTAAGGAATACTGTTTACTTTAGGTGTTAAGATATGTTTAACATTAGATGTTAAACAAGTGTGTTTAACTTTAGGTGTTAAACAAGTGTATTTAACTTTAGGTGTTAAACAGGTATGTTTGACTTTAGGTGTTAAACATGTAGTATGTACTACTTAGACTCATCGGGCTTACGGTCAAGTAGAACGGTGAACAGTTATAGCTTCAACTAATGACGAAAATCGTTGGGACGAAGCTGTAGCAGATGTAAAATGGGGAATTAATTTGACCGTTAATTCCACTACAGGGAAAACTCCCTTCGAACTATTTGGATATTGAGATGGAATGCAGAGGAGATACTATCACGATACTAGTCACTGTTGGTGAGAATAAATGCCTTTTTGTAAAA